TGGATAAATTTGGTCATCAGAGCGACAAACAGCTTGTGCGCATGAAATTTGGAACAAAATCGTCGATTGGTGCTTGACCTGAAGACGATGAACAGGGAGATTTATCATGGAGATTTGCACACCGGGTTGCTTATGATTCTTGTGGAAAGTGGACGCTTCGAGCTGCAATGTGGGGGGCCAACCGAGACAAGCGAGCTAAAGGCAGGCCGCCGAACAGGCTGCGCAAGCGGTGGTCTGATGACATGTTCCGGTGCCCCCAGGCTTCGGAATACATGCTACGCCAGAGCATTGGAACCAATGATTACTACTATTTGAGCATCGATGGCATGATCTTGAATCCGGATTCGTGCACATGTCATACTGAGCGCTTCGCGCGCTGCGCGCCCATCCTCTTCGACGGGACAGCTTCGCTGAGGTGGCGTGCGTCCGTCCGTCCGTCCGTGAGAGGTGTTTCGAACCAGGCGTGGGTACGGCATGCGGATTGTGTCGTTGGGCCTCCGGTGGAGATCATTCTGGGGTAAACGTTTGCGGGGTATGTTGAGCGTGTGCTGGACCGGGCGCAGGTATGGCATGCAGACTTTGCCCTTGTGGCCTTCGGTGGAGCTCCCTGTGGGGCCACGGAAGGTGTCAATGGTGGGGTGTACCGGAGTGGTTGACACGCATATGGCAGAGGCAGGCATGGGTTGAGGGGGGATGAGAAGAGCAGGAGGACTCGGGGCACTGGTCTCAAAACGAGGACCCAACACCGCAGGATGGTTTGGAATATATCGTGTCCAACCAACGGTTTGCCAGATTGTTTGTTTGTTGTGTTTCGCGCACGCATTTACTCATCACGCTCACCAGCGCCATCGCATCACCGCCGTTGTCGTCGTCGCCGATCGCGGCCATTGCCGCCATTATCAGCACAATCACCTTCCTCACCGACCCTGGACATCATCATCGTCATCGTCGTCACCAGCATCGGTGCCGTAATTGGCCTTGACGTTGTCATTGCCATCATCGCCACCACCATCGGTGTGATCATCATTGTTGCCGCCGTGGCGCCATTTCAACAGCTGACCACGCATCGCGCTCTGGCGGTGCTCAGCGTGTTGTGGGAGGCTAGCAGGCACTTTGGAGCGGTGGGGGGGGAGCGCACAACAACACGAAGCATTGTTGCCGCCTTTGTCGGTGTCAACGACATGATTTCTCGCCCGCCGGGGCCGCCGATCTGTTTGGAAGTGTCTGCGGACCGCGCTGGCAAGGTGCCTGTCGGTGAGCGCCATCGCGGCCACATCGGTGGTGCCAGGCGACCGCGGTGCGCGGCCACAGAGGGGCGCGCTGGCAAGTGCCAGCCAGTGGCCGCAGTCGTGGCCGAATGGGTTTTGCCAGGCGAGTTGTAGGTGAGAACGCCCAGGAGCGAAAGAAGGACGTAGCCTCCGGTGGCAAATCATGGGAGCCCGGTATACCCCCGAAATTCTGACTTGAGCGTCGACGATCGTCGATTAGTGTCTGGGGGTCAAGAAGGTATCGCCGAATTAGCGTCGGCGAGCGTCGACTAGCGTCGATTTAGCGTCGATGAGAGTCGATTTCGCGTCGACGAACGTCGCATCGCAAGATCCAACAAGATGGTATGGGAGGCACCTCATGAACCGCCACAGAAGTACACCTACATGAATCCACGTTGGTTTCGAGAGTGCGCATTGCGCAAATGTTCGTATCATGCGGCAGGTCTCGCGGATCGAGGGCCCGTGCTCATGTACATGGTTGGGCGCGTGCGTCTTTCATAGGCTCCCTAAGAGTGGGATGTTTGCGCGAATGGTGGGTTTGACAGCTCAAAAGTGGCGAAGGTAGTGACTCCACATAGGCTTCACCGCGTATCTTACACCACATAGGCTTAAAGACCGCAGCTTACACCGCATAACTCACGCCACATAGCTTACACCGTATAGTTTTAACCACATGGATCGTAATGCTTAGGCCGCGTAGGCGTCGCCTCCACAACGCACTGTTTTCACTGAAGGGGAGGGTCCACGCCGGCTAACATAAGTTCCCGTGTGTCGATACCCTAACGACCCCAAGCGCTGAACCTTAGCCCTGAACCCTGTCAAGGCGTGACAGCATGGGGTAGGCTTCTGAAGACATCGCCTCGGAAGCTCTCAATTCGCAAATTTGCCATAAGGAAGAAAGACGGCCCCGGCGTTCGACCTCTCCGCCTCCTCCCCTTGCTCCGCCCTCTCCCTCCGAGTGACAAGCAGTGACGACCAGGAGTGACAGAGAGGGAGGAGGTGGTGATTGAGGTAAAGGCAGGAGGGAGCGAGGGGGGGAGGGGGGTGAGGAGGGAACGAAGGAGAAGACGGAGGAGGAAACAGAGGGCCAACACGAGGAGGAAAGGAGGAGGAGGAGGAGGAGGAAAAGGAAAGACTAGTAGAGGATAGGAGGGAAGAGCACAGGGAGGGGGAGGGTAAGAGGAGGAGGCGGATGAGGATCATTAGGAGGAGGAGAGGAGGAAGAGGAGGAGGAGGAGAAGGAAGAGGAGGAGGAGGAGGAGGAGGAGGAGGAGGAGGAGGAAGAGGAGTTGTGTACGTCTGGGGGGCTGGGGGGGCAGCGATCGTGCCTTCTAGCTAGCGGCCATTTCGGGGCGCACGGCCGCCCCTCACACTCGACGCCCAAACTCGCACTGCATACTCGCACTTCGCACTCGCACCTCGCACTCGCCCCCGCACTCGCCCCCCGCACTGTGCGCCCACACTCGCACTTCATACTCGCACCCCGCACGCGCGCCCACACTCACCCCCCGCGCCTTGCGCCCACACGACACGAACGCGAGACGCGGGTCAACTCGGCGCCCACCCCACGGTCAATTCGCTCTTCGCACTAGAGGAAGCAGCTCGGACAACCAACTCGCGAAATCCATGTGGCACCTCCAATCGCGAAGCCAAGGCGGCAAATCTCTTGGCACATCAACTTGCGACCTCAACTCGGCAGGCCACCCCGCGAAATCAACTCGGCAAATCAATGTTGTAACTCAACTCGGAACATCAACTCGGGAAATCAACTCGGCAAACCAATTCGTGAAATCAACCTGGGAAGTCGATTCGGGAAATCAACTCGGGGTACCGACTCGCACTTCGCAGTTGGAATGGTAAGTCAAAGCCCAGGAAGTCAACGCCAAGTCAACTCGCCATCTCAGCGTTCCGTGCAAGCCAACTCCACAAATCACTTCGGGAAATCCAAGCGGCAAATCAATTGTACATCAACTCTATAATTCAATCATATAAAGTAACTCTGCAAATCAACTCTGTAGTTCAACTCGGTAAATCAACTTTGCAAGCCAACTCGGCAAATCAATTCGGCAATTAAATTCGGGAAATCAAGTCGGTAAATCAATGTTGTAAACCAATTCGGCAAATCAACTCTGGAAATCAATTCGTTTAATCAATTCGGTAAACCAAGCCAGGGTTTGTTGTAGGGTGTAAGTAAGTGTGGGGTGCGAGTGTGTGCGTAGAGTGTGGTGTGTGTGAGTGTTCGTGTGTGTGTGTGCGTGTGTTGTGTGTGTTGTGTGTGTTGTGTGTTGTGTGTTGTGTGTGTTGTGTGTGTGTTGCGTGTGAGTTGTGTGTGCTCTGTGTGACTTGTGTGTGCTGTGTGTGTGGTGTGTGTGGTGTGTGTGTGTTGTGGTGTGTGTGTGTGTGTTGTCAGTGTTGTGTGTCTGGCACGTGTGCGTGTGTATGTGTGTGTGGGTTGTGTGTGTTGTGTGTGGTGTGTGTGTATTGTGTGTTGTGTGTGTGTTGTGTGTCCGGTGTGTGTGTGTGTCTGTTGTGTGTTGTGAGTGGTGTGTGTGTGTTGTGCGTGTGTGTGTGTGTGTTGTGTGTGTTGAGCGTGTGTGTGTGTGAGTGTGCTGTGTGTTGTGTGGGTTGTGTGAGTTGTGTGTGCTCTGTGTGACTTGTGTGTGTTGTGTGTGTGGTTTGTGTGTGTTGTGTGTGTGTTGTGGTGAGTGTGTGTTGTCAGTGTTGTGTGTCTGGCGTGCGTGCGTGTGTGTGTGTGGGTTGTGTGTGTGTTGTGTGTGTGTTGTGTGTGTTGTGTGTGTTGTGTGTGCTGTGTGTCTGGTGTGTGTCTGTTGTGTGTTGTGAGTGGTGTGTTGTGAGTGGTGTGTTGTGAGTGGTGTGTGTGTTGTGCGTGTGTGTTGTGTGTGTTGTGTGTGAGTGTGCTGTGTGTTGTGTGTGTGTGTTGTGTGTGTGGTGTGTGTATTGTGTGTTGTGTGTGTGTGTTGTGTTCGGTGTGTTCGGTGTGTGTGTGTGTTATGTGTGTTGTGTGTGTTGTGTGTGTGTTGTGTGTGTTGTGTGTGTGTTGTGTGTTGTGTGGGTTGTGTGGGTTGTGTGTTATGTGTTGTGTGTTGTGTGTTGTGTGTGTTGTGTGTTGTGTGTGTTGTGTGTGTGTGTCGTGTGGATTGTGTGTGTTGTGTGTGTTGTGTGTGTTGTGAGTTTTGTGAGTGTGTTGTGTGTGTTGTGTGTGCTGTGTGCGTTGTGTGTTGTGTGTTGTGTGTTGTGTGTTGTGTGTGTGTCGTGTGTTGTGTGTGTTGCGTGTGTTGTGTGTGTTGTGTGTGTGTTGTGTGTTGTGTGTGTGTTGTGTGTGTGTGTGTCTGTGTGTGTGAATGTGTGTGTGTGTGTGTGCGTGTGTGTGTGTGTGTTTGTGTGTGGGGGTGGGGGTGTGTGTGGGGGGGGGGGGCGGGGGGGGGGGGGCGTAGAGTGTGGGGTGTGAGTATGGGGTTTGAGTGTGGGCGTGCAGTGTGGGGTGCGAGAGTGTGCGTAGACTGGGAGTAGAGTGTGTGTTCGGCGAGTGTGGGCGTCGAGTGTGGTGAGTTTCTGGCCTCGAGCTAGTGCTGGCCCCCCAGACATACACAAAGGAGGAGGAGGAGTAGGAGGATGTCAGGTGGAAGATTAGGAGGTGTGGCCGAGGGAGGGGAGAAAGGAGGGTTGGGGGGAGAAAGAGCAGCAGAGCATGCCGCCCCGAGCCGCAGCCAG